GCGCCGGCTGAAGCCCTATGTGCTAAAATGCTGAGCTAAGGACGCTCCGCCTTATCTATAGAAGCAGTCAACCGAGTGCACAAACGGACGTCTTGCAGTGCACAAACGAACGTCCAACCCCAACCCTACTACAAAACAATTCAGGAGGTGGTCGTCGCGGACGTCTGACGGGCACGTGGGACGTCTATGTGGACGTCCGAGGTGTACACCGGACGTCTAGATAGGCGTCGGGCCTGACACATCGGACATCTATATACACGTCCGATGTGGACCCCCGACGTCTGAGTAACGTCACCCACAAAGACGTCGGGGGGAAGGTCGGACGTCAAAAGGCCAAAAGAATGAACGTCTAAAGCTGTTTTTGCACTAGTGCCACTAATAAAACAAAGAAATAAAAAACATAGTAATGTTCTATCAGATAAAAAACTCAAAATTATTTTACATAAAACATATAAATAAATAAAAATTTAAATATTTAAGAGTGTACTAACAAAAAGTTGTTGTGTTTAGAGGAGTAGAGGAGAGAGAATAAAAATAAGCACTTAACACACTTGAGCGAAACTGAGGAAAAATAAGCAATTAAGCCTTCGTTTATTGAGATAAGGGAAACCCAAGGCTTGTTCGGGTGAGGGGTGACACAGAAGAAATAGAGGAACGAGCCAAGAGTGAGAGTAAGACCAAGAGCGGCACAAACGATCAAGAATGCTTGCATGAAAGCCTACCCGTTCGGATGAAACTAGGTGGGAGCAACGTTAACTTCTCGCAGCACACCCATTTTGAAGTTTGAGAAGGGAAGAAGAACACGTAGATCGCGAAATAATGTTGCATAGGCGTAGAAGAAATCTTAAGCATACCCTTTTCGGCCATGGCAAGCCCGCTCGTTTAACTGGCAGACGACCAACTTAAAACAATCAGCGCCACTTGCCTTCTTCACTAAGAAAACCCCATTAGTCAGTTCTTCTATTGACTTGCCAATAACAAAGGAGGAAGAATAAAGCTTAACCTCATGAGGAACCCAACCGTAACCGGCAACAACGAGCCTAAATTTGCACCTTCTATCCCACTCACCGGTGAAGTCGACGTTGATCGCCACGTCGTCTTCAATGGCCTCAAGAAGTCGAGAGGAGTTCTCGGCAGTTGGTGAAGCGACCTAGTTGTCAGCAGGAGGGTCCCTCTCACCATTGGGACCAAATATGGAAAAGTTGACGGAGGAGTACGACTCTACAGCATCGTCAGCATACCCACGACCTTCCACCCTGGCGGACTCAGAGGAAGACATTGTTTATCTGAAAAGAGGATGAATACGTGTCATCGAGTGAAGAGTAAGTATCCTTGGTAGTTTTTGTAAGGGGAAGTTCATAAACCGATCGGTAGAACCGAGAGAAACCCTCACACAATTCCAAATGATTTGCAAGGGCTTGGGAGACCTATGTTACTATGTGGTGAGTCGAATAAACCGATCGGTTGGGTTAGGACGAAGAGCGACGCAGCCGCTCGGGTCTGACAGCCGTTGAGCAGAGTTAAGGCATAGTCAATATGATAACTGCTATTGATGAGTGGTTAATGTTGACATTAATAACCATTAAGAGGTAAATTAATAGGTTTGATTTTTTTAAACCCTATAAGTAAAGGTTTAAGTTCAAGGTAAGGAACACTTTTCCATAATGAAATTTATAATTATAATTATTCAAGTTGAAATAAAAAAAAACTACTGTTGTAATGGTTAATTAAAGATCGAATACGAAAAAAGATAGTAGAAAAACAAATGGTTATAACAGTGATGATCATTCTCCTAATTATAAAAATAGATATAAATAATTTCTACATAGATAATTTTATAAACATTTTTTTATCATAGATAATTATTTTTATTTAAAAATAATTAATTGAAAGGGAAAAGTGAAATAATAAAGAGGAAATATTAAATACTTAAAATTAAAATTTATAAAATAATTATTTTAATTTAAAAAAGATAACTTATTAATTAATATATATATATATATATATAAACAAATCCCTTTTATATAATAATATATATTACATAATCTTGGTTTTGAACATTTTAAACTGTTTGTTAAAACTTTCTTTAACTGTGAAAGAAAAAAAAAATGGCATAGAATAAATTTTAAAAAATAATAATTTACACCTGAATAGTAAATCAAAAATCACTTTAATCAGCATAAGTAATTTGGTAAATAGAAAAATGAAAAAATATTGTGAAAACGGGTGATAAATAACAAGTATTCACACAGCCTTTCTGCTGCAAATGCAAGTGCAACTGCTATACATTGTACTCTGAAATGATAAGAGGTTCAATTTGAAAGAACCTCGTGCCCTAATTTTACACTGAATTTGCAATTTGGTATTACAACCAAGACACAAAGTAAGATTCTAAGTTCACTTTTTAGCCTTAATTGTTCATTACTCAAACACCCATTTTGTTCGTTCTTTTCAATTATTTCGGTTCCTTTTCAAAATTGTTTTTTTTCCATATATATATATATATTGATCTTCTTTGTCAATTAACGAAACCCAGACTAGGATGTGTTTCTTGTTATTTATTTTTTTGCTGACAGGTACTCATTGTTAACCTCTGACTCTAACAAGCAGTTGAATCGAGTCAGATTACTGTGGAATACAAAGATGATGAAAGAAAATTACCAGTTTCAAGAATGAAAGATGGTAGCTATTGAATTCTGTTATGTTTTAGCAAAGATTTGAATTAGACTATTTGTATTGCATATTTCTGTATATTAAATTTTCGGCTGCTTGCACTTTGCTGATGTGAAGGAAGTCTCTGATATGGATTTTTAGCATGCACTTGTCTTCTGAAGAATCTTTGTATTTTATTCAAGTTCTTTGTGTCTATCTTTCTTTTTCTGTAATGTCAAGTGAATTACTTACACGCGAGAACGGTAATTTCCATTTTCCTATGGTTCCATTTATCTTTGTATCCCACATAATTTGATTTGAGATGTTTCAGTTGTGATTACATCTGTTATCATTCTCTGCATATGCTGGTAATGTATGTTTATCATCTCCAGGAGTGAAGACTCTTCATGTTGTTTGCAACTAGAATGATGTCTTCCGGTTGTGTGACAATTGCCAAATTTAAATCTCGTGATTATAACTGTTCAAGAGTTGATTTTGATGCTTTCTTTTACAAGACCACGATTGGCCAGAAGCAATGCTCTCCATGCTTTAGGATTGCTCAACATTGTTTAATTGTTAATTTCAAGTAAGTCTCAGTAGCAGTTTTTGTTAATGACTTTTAATCCTGCATAAAATCTAGGACAGCTTTTGATACCTGATACATAATTTGGAGATTCTGTACCAAATAAATGCTGGCATGAAGCACGGAAGCATAGTTCTATTTAAGAGAGGATGATATTGTATACCTGTCTTTGTTGCTAGACAGTTCCTTCACATCAACTTTATTGGGTTACACATTTGCTATTTTTTGGTTAGGTGGGATTAAGTGTCTAAAGTGATAAGGAGTTTTGGGGGTCTACAAAAGATGATAAGAAGAAATTGTCTAAAGTGATTAAGGGTTTTCTTGTTCTATAACAGATGATGAGAAGTGTTCTTCCTTTAGTCTAACATGGTGAAATGTGTTTAACGGTTAATGAAACGTGTTTCATTTCAAAAGTCTGGTAAACTTAATTTGGTGTAGACCTTATGTTGTAATATTGACATTCTTTTGAAGACTGTATTCTAAAAGGTAGGCATATAATTGAAATAGCTGATATTTTGTAGCTAATTTGGGATATCAATATGAACTTGTACTTGCAACCGTGGTGTTTGAAACACTGTATAGGTGAATATCAATCAAAAATTGGTTATATGAGGAGAACCATTATTGTTGATCTTTTTCTTAGGATATTAAGTCTTTATGTCTTCAGGAGGATGACTTGGTCAGTAAGAAACAGCTTAAATGACAGCAGTTTTAGTTCTTCCACTTCAAATGGCAGTAATGGAAGGACCCGCATAATTAGAGTGATTCAAGAGTTTCAGAGTAAGTTAGGTTCTAAAATTCAGGAGGTAAAGAAAAATCTTCCCATGAAGCTGCTTTTCTTCTTGGTTGGATTTTATTGTGCAACTGCCTTTGCCACTGTTATTGGACAAACTGGTGACTGGGATATTCTATCTGCTGCCTTGGCTGTGGCTGTTGTGGAAGTCATTGGGGCTCTCATGTATAGGGCTTCTCTTCCTTTAGTTAGCATGAATAGAGGCCTTATTTCCTTGTTTAATTATTGGAAGGCTGGCCTTACACTGGGACTTTTCTTAGATTCCTTTAAATATTGATTTGATCGTATTGCTGGATGAGCAATCTCTTCTATGTGAATTGAAATTTCCCACTTTTCTTATGATGCTTGGCATTTATAATGCACATGACTCATTGCCATTGCAGTAATCTGTCCCCACTATGTTTGATAAATACTGAAGTTACACTTAACTCGACGAAAGATGGATCTTTTTCAATTCTACCGTTAAAATCCCTGAAGTTCAGTGCACATATCCAGAAGATAAGACATTCAAGCTATGAGATGAATCATGCATATGACGAACATAGCAATGGTTGAGTTTTGACTGGAGCACATTAAAGGGCATTGAAACATTCAACAACTTCACATTTTCAATTAACTCTACATCGGCTTTGGTTCAACCAACTCCTGGAACATTATTTCACTCCTTCTGTCCCTTACTTCAATGTTTCATCCTATAATCCGTGTTGGCATCAGTTCCTTGATAGTAGTGGGATTGCTGGTATTCATTTTGCAGGGGCATTCATACAAATTGGAACATGTGAGATGATGGTATACAATGATGTGGAACTTTGGATCTTTTTGCAAGAAATCCAGCACTGTTTTACATGTCCAACACGGAATATGTGTCTTTTCCATACAGAGGAAACTTGATTGCCTCGTGAATGGTGATGCAAAAATTGAGTTTGGTACAAATAATGCAAACTGTCTCAGATATAGTTTTTGTAATGTGATTGTGGATCATCATTTCTACACGAACTACAAAATACTTGAAAATTGCGCCATGTTGATGTCTACCAAGCTCCACCATGAACTGCAAACTGTGCCATTTGTTGAATTGATTTGTTTTTCTTTATTAGTATTGCAATTTTATCCATTTGTTGAAAATTTATCCATCTATGTACAATTTTAGTTCGCTAGAAGAAAAGTCATCCCTCATGTCTATATACATTTTGGATATACAGTTACCTCCTGAAATCATTGCACAGTGCAAATTGATGTAGATATATCTCTTTGATGAATGTATGTACTAGAAATTCTATTGCGATAAATTTATGTGCAACACTTTGATGAATGTATGTCAGTTTTTAACTCAGCTTGATGACCAGATTACATTCACTTTTTCAAGAAGAATGCTGGTCAATTTTCCAAGGGATGGTAACTTTACCTTCTACATTTCAAGCAAATTCAACTTGAATCTGAGTAACTATTTCTCTATATACATTTTGGATATACAGTTACCTCCTGAAATCATTGCACAGTGCAAATTGATGTAGATATATCTCTTTGATGAATGTATGTACTAGAAATTCTATTGCGATAAATTTATGTGCAACACTTTGATGAATGTATGTCAGTTTTTAACTCAGCTTGATGACCAGATTACATTCACTTTTTCAAGAAGAATGCTGGTCAATTTTCCAAGGGATGGTAACTTTACCTTCTACATTTCAAGCAAATTCAACTTGAATCTGAGTAACTATTTCTCTAATTGCGTCCTTCCCCTTATGATTGCCCTGACACCAAATTTTTTGAAATCTGAAACTAGTACGGTTGGATGTTAAGCAATCAGCACTAACAATATTTTACTATTTGTGACAATTTAATACTGCTAAACTAACTATGCATTTGGATTATCATCTGTAGAATAGAATTTAAACTAAGTTCATTTTATAAAAACTAACTGTGGCTAAAATTAATTATAATGTGTTTGGATTCATTTTAAATTACTTATGATCATGTTGGAATAGTAATTTTATAGAATTGCTTTGAAGTAAATATAAGTTTAAAACCTGTTTAATATCCATCTATCTTTTTATATAGATGATTTTTTGCATTGTAATTCATTAGTTATTATTGATATTAACATACACTATGTAGCTTATAAAATAAAATTCATAGCCTAGATTGGTTGACCATGGGCATGGAAAAGGCATGTCATAAATTCGATCCTTGTACAGAATGCTGACAAATACAATTTCATGAACCCTTTTACACCATCATGATAACAGAAGACCATAAGTTGTACATCAAAGTTAAAAATACTGTCTTGCATAATTTTTTCATTTTTGTGTTTCTCACCTATGCTTATGCAAGCTGTGAAGGGGTTTGTATGGAATAAATTTAAATTTTAGTTGGAATATCTATACTAACTTTATTTTTCATTAATAACTATGCCAACGAATTTAACATTTTTTTCTACACCCAGAAAAAAATAAGATTTAGCTTAAATTTTAATCGACTTAAAAACTACAAAAAAAAATTTCATCTCAATTTAATAAGTCTTATTTTCAACTTGGTGTCAGAGCTCCTGATCTTGGAGCTCGATTCCGCTGCAACAAGTCACATCGCTGCCGCTGTTCGACCACTACCGCTGCCGCAGTTGCCGGTTGGGGTCGTTCATAGGGCAGAAAGGTGTGCCGAACATCAGCGATCACAGCGCCGAAAATTGCTCTATGATAGGAGCCGCTATGCACCGCCATGCGCCGCTACCGTCACCGGTGCGTGTAGCCCACGCGCCCACCTTCGGCAAGACCTACTCGCTTCCTCTGCCACAGATAGGGTCGTCGGAGCCTCCTGAGTCTATTCCTGGGGTCGGTGACAACTCGTTTGGGCTATATTTGAGTAGATCTGAGTTTTAAGTTCGTCCCGTTTTTCCTCGGTGTGACCCACTCGCTACTGCCGCCACAGCTAGAGTCTCCTAAGTTTGTTCCTAGGGTTGGTGATGACTCGTTTTGCCTATATTTGAGTAGATCTGAGTTTGAAGGTTTTGTTCCTTTTCTTGGGTACGGGATGTCTGAAATAAAAAGTATTCCTTTGGGGTACCTAATAACCTACCAAATATAGGAAGTACCTTTTGGTTGGATGGTCAGAATTACTTAAAATGGAGCCAATTTATTCGAAGGGTTCTTAAGGGTCGTTCAAAACTTGATCACATAGATAAAGGAGGACCAGGACCAGACGACACTCATTTTTCAATTTAGGACAATGAAGATTCATTAATTATGACTTGGATGTAGAAATCCATGATTCCTAAGATAAGGAGAAATTATATGTTTCATTCTTCTGCAAAAGAAATATGGGATAATTTATAGAGTACCTTTTCTTTAAAATAGGATCTTGCTGCTTACTATGACATCAAGAACAGGATATTTAATACAAAACAAGGTTCCCTTTCCGTATCAGAATTTTCACGGAATCCTGAATGGTCTTTGGATGGAACTCGATCAAATCCAAACAATAAAGATGTGTAAAACAGATTTTGACGCTCTTGTTGAATTCATTGAAAGGGAAAGAATCTTTAAATTTCTACAGGGCCTGAATCATGAGTACGACCCAATCCGGGTTCAGATTTTTGGAAGAGAAAAATTATCATCCCGGTCAGAAGGTTTTTTTATGGTAAAAGGAGAAGAAACTCGGAGAATTGTCATGCTTAATGGAGGGATCTCCAACACATGCTCTGCCATGACAACTTGAAAGGGAGTCCACAAAGGCACAAATGTTAGGTGAAAGACGTTTGAAAAAGGTACTCATGGGGACTATTGTTCATACTGTAAAAGATCTGGACATACCAAGGAAACATGCTTCAAACTCCATGGAAGAAAGAATGTTCTCGAGCGCATGGGAAACAACAAAGGGTCTACTCAAAGATGGGTAAATCATACTACCTCATAATGGGAAGCCACTAATCCATCTAGTCCTTCACACACACCACTAGATCTTGATATGAAAGCTTATAAGGAGAAACTTGAATGCTTGGAAGCAATGGTTGAATCAATGAATAAGCCCTCTGGATCATGTACTTTGTCCATAAAAGGTAAGATTTGTCTCAATATTGTTGGTCATGTGTCTCAAGGTATTTAGATCCTTGATTTGGGTGCAACCGATCATATGACACCTTTTAGTGGGGTTTTCGACTCATATGGAAAAAATAATAAAGAACAACTTATTACAGTTGCGAATGGTCAGGGTATACCTATATGCGACTCTGGGAATATAATTTTGGACTCATCTATTATATTAAAGGATGTTTTACATGTTCCTCTATTAGTTAATAGTCTTATCTCTGTGCAAAAACTCACAAAGGGTTTAAATTGTTCACTAACATTTTTTCCAACTTATTGTGTTTTTCAGGACCTTGCCACGGGGAAGACGATTTTAACTTGTAGAGAGGAAAATGGGTTGTATTTTTTAGAGTTTGATGACCAAAGCAACACACAAATCATGAGTCAACAAACTACATCTGAGACGTGGGCAAAATCTCAAATATGGTTACATCATCAAAGGCCTAGGCATCCTTCATTTAGTCTTATCAAGTCCTTATTTCCCCATTTGTTTACCAAGGAGTTTGTTGAGTCTTTTAATTGTGTTATTTGTCAATTGTCAAAACACCATTGTGCATCTTATCCTATTAGTAATAAAAAGAGTATTTCTCCATTTGATTTAATTCACTCTGATGTTTGGAGTCATGTCATAGATTCTATTTCCAGAGCCAAATGGTTCGTTACCTTTATTGACGATTGTACCCATGTCACGTGGACATACCTTATGAAAAATAAATTCGAAGTTTTTCAAATTTTTGTTAATTGTTTCCGTCTTGTCCAAAATCAATTTGGCAAAAATAGGTTTGATAATGGTATTGAATATGTGAATCATGAATTTCTCAATTTTTTGTCTCATAATGGTATTGTTCACGAACTAACTTGTGTTAACACCCCTCAANGATGTCTGAAATAAAAAGTATTCCTTTGGGGTACCTAATAACCTACCAAATATAGGAAGTACCTATTGGTTGGATGGTCAGAATTACTTAAAATGGAGCCAATTTATTCGAAGGGTTCTTAAGGGTCGTTCAAAACTTGATCACATAGATAAAGGAGGACCAGGACCAGACGACACTCATTTTTCAATTTAGGACAATGAAGATTCATTAATTATGACTTGGATGTAGAAATCCATGATTCCTAAGATAAGGAGAAATTATATGTTTCATTCTTCTGCAAAAGAAATATGGGATAATTTATAGAGTACCTTTTCTTTAAAATAGGATCTTGCTGCTTACTATGACATCAAGAACAGGATATTTAATACAAAACAAGGTTCCCTTTCCGTATCAGAATTTTCACGGAATCCTGAATGGTCTTTGGATGGAACTCGATCAAATCCAAACAATAAAGATGTGTAAAACAGATTTTGACGCTCTTGTTGAATTCATTGAAAGGGAAAGAATCTTTAAATTTCTACAGGGCCTGAATCATGAGTACGACCCAATCCGGGTTCAGATTTTTGGAAGAGAAAAATTATCATCCCGGTCAGAAGGTTTTTTTATGGTAAAAGGAGAAGAAACTCGGAGAATTGTCATGCTTAATGGAGGGATCTCCAACACATGCTCTGCCATGACAACTGGAAAGGGAGTCCACAAAGGCACAAATGTTAGGGGAAAGACGTTTGAAAAAGGTACTCATGGGGACTATTGTTCATACTGTAAAAGATCTGGACATACCAAGGAAACATGCTTCAAACTCCATGGAAGAAAGAATGTTCTCGAGCGCATGGGAAACAACAAAGGGTCTACTCAAAGATGGGTAAATCATACTACCTCATAATGGGAAGCCACTAATCCATCTAGTCCTTCACACACACCACTAGATCTTGATATGAAAGCTTATAAGGAGAAACTTGAACGCTTGGAAGCAATGGTTGAATCAATGAATAAGCCCTCTGGATCATGTACTTTGTCCATAAAAGGTAAGATTTGTCTCAATATTGTTGGTCATGTGTCTCAAGGTATTTAGATCCTTGATTTGGGTGCAACCGATCATATGACACCTTTTAGTGGGGTTTTCGACTCATATGGAAAAA